TTCTTACTGGCAATAATGAGGTACATGTAGTAGAGGTGGAAGGCGGTGAAGAGGTAGCTGGGAAAGGGGTGACTGCCATAAAGTCCAGCCAGCCAGGTGAGGGTGATGACGGCCGCGTAGGAGGTGGGCGTTAGGGAGCAGTGGATGAGGTGAAAGTAGGCGAAGGAGGCGGTGCGGAAGAGGCGGAACCGCTTGAAGGAGGCGTCGGTTAGGTTGAAGGCTGAGTAGTGGAGTTTCCTATTAGATGGTGAGCTTTTGGAGTCGCCGGTCATGCTGAAGAGCGCCATAAATTGGTAGTCGAGGAGGTTGGAGGTGAGGGTGAAGTGGAGGAAGAGGACGCAGACGACGCCCCACAGGAGGAAGGTCGTTTCGAGCTCGAAGCCGTCGCTTCCGGTCAGCTCGTCGCCGAGCCAGATTTTCACCTCTCGGCTGGCGTGGAGGCGCTGGCCGACCAGGGCCAGGGCGCAGCGAAGTGAGTAGAGCAGGAGAAAGAGCTGGGCCCACTTGAGGTGGGCGGGGTAGTGCTGGACAGTGAAGGAGGGGAGAGAGTTTGTTTGCTGAGCTTCTGAAGAAGTTTGTTGTTGTTGTTGTTGTTTCTCGTGAAGAGCCCGGTAGCAGGGAAGCTGGTACTGGAGGGTGTACCGCTGCAGTTTGCCAAACTGTTGTCGGTTAAAGTGCACCCCGGTTCGGTCGACCTCATCCTGAAAGTGCTGCAGCGGCAGGTAGAGGCTGTAGAGGAAGAGGCGGTGCCGGAGGGAGGCGGTTGGCGGATGGAAGTACTGCTCCAGATGTTTGCTGGGTATTAGGGCTATCATTTTGGGGGCTTTTATTTTGGAGTTTTAAGAGTAGGTTTGAGTTTTTGTTTCTGCAGAAGCTCACAGGTGATTAAGGTTTTTATGGTTGAAGAGAAGGCAGAAGGTAATTAGTTGGTTAGGTAGTTTCTGAAAAGTAAAAAAGTTTTTTTGTTATGTTTAGCAAAGAGGAGCTATTTTTTGTCATATTAATTGAAAAGTACGCCATTTGAAATGCAAACAACATGCACTCTGATCAGCAGTGCTGTCAACCTTACCTGACGA